AACAAAAGAGAGAAAAGAAAGAAAAAAAAAGTTTAAACATATACATACATAACACAAATACAGCAAGAGGAAAGAAGGACTTGTGTATCCGTGACACTTCCAAAATATTTATCATAAAAATCTTTTTTTAAGAATCTATCACTTTTCTTGTTATTAACTAGTCTAAGAGATTTAATAAAAACATCAATTTCTGTTAAAATATTTGAAGATAAAGGCTGCGAACTGGTCTTGCGTCTGGTGTTGTGTTCATATTTCTTTCAATGTTTGTGTATGTCTCTCCATGGTTCTGCGAGACAGCACATTTAGTGTGACCGTGTGTGATGACAGTAAAGTTGAAGGTGTCCGTCTGTGCATATTAATGAAGCAGATGTCTGACTTCCTGCACGCCAGCGTCTGTCTGTGCTGTTAATCTGCTGAGGTGAAGAGTTGCAGGATTTACTGATGCTGTTATTTAGTGCGGCGAGGATCAACAGTCGGCCATGATTCGCCTCAGCTTCTCCAGACTCTGCCGCTTTACTGTGCGTCCGCTTTACACTGCGACTGTTGTGTTTTTGTGGCCTGTGTGTGTTTGATTCACTCATCTGGGTGTGTGTGTGTGTGTGTGTGTGCAGCTGGCCGAGTACCGGCAGAGGAAAGCTCAATCTGATGGACAGAAGAAGAAGAAGAAAAAGAAGAAGCCGGAGCTGGAGCCGACTGAGGGAGAGTCTGCCAATACGGTGTTTTCTGTCTCCAAAACTCTGCGCAGTGGAGAAACCGTCACTCATGACCAGACCTACACCATCGAGGTGAGCGGTTACTCTCACTATACACTCACACACTTCACTATTAGCTTAGTTAAAGGCGACATATGATCAGTGAGATTTACAGAAGGGGTTTGAGGAGGATTGACCCTGCAATTAATGCTTGACCCCCCCTGAAGGACATCAAAACAACATGTATGGGGGGTCAGTCGTTTAAATAGTGGGAAATAGTTTGCTCTTATCTCTATATTTAATATTAATATTAATAATTTACATTTTAGATAACACAAACACATTTGACCACCCCTATAACGGGTCATACCATTGTAAATGCATAATCAGGCCAATCAGTATATGCCAGAGCAAGTCTTAAACCGGCAGATCTAGAGCACCGGTGGACACCGTCACCATTCACAAGACACTTTTCTCCTGTAAGAGCTGTTTGTTTTTATATATGGCTGAAAGTAAAGTCACATTAGCTGCATAGTTTGTATAGTTTAACCTACAGTAACATCTGAGATAGCTAATCAGAGGATACTGTAGGTGAGGAAACACTAAATATGACACAAAACACTGAACATTTAAATGCATTTTATTAATATATTAGATGTAATTTAAATAAATGCATACATTTGATTCACTGAAGCATTACACAAACTAGCATTATCGGATATTTTGTCCCCCTGATTGTCCGTGTATAATTCGCACCCTGCCTATAATGCCTATTAAAACAGATTGAGTATAGAAGCAAGGAGATTATAATGTCTAGAGTGGGCACGGGCCGCTATAAGAATCTGACGGTATGATAACCTTGGATGAAAATGTCTTGGTTTCGTGGATTACTGCTGTTAATGTAATTCTTTTTTAAATGTCTGGGTACAAATTTTATTATAAATTGTTCATTTGTTAATGTGTAATGAATCAACTTTATAATAATAATAATAATAATAATAAAGCAACAGTCAAATTTCAACACACAAAATGCAGTTTTTATGGTAATCTTTGTTGTTAGAATTGATTCAGCAAAATTCTAGTACAGAAACGTTTTCTTTTTAGCCAAAGTTGTAGTGATGTTGTTTTATTTTTGTCATTTTTAATATATTTTTTTGATTGTCTCTATTTTGCAATTATTTTTGTTTTAGTTATTTTAACTTAAGTTAAATTAAATAATTCAAAAATATATTTTTTAGAACTACCTGAAAAAGATTTTAAAAGTTTATTTATTAATTCAATCATTTATTTACTTATTTATTCATTTATTTTGTTACTTATTTACTTTTTATTTACTTATTTATTTACCTATTTACTCATTTATTTACTTATTTACTCATTTATTTACTTATTTACCTATTTACTTATTTATTTACCCAATAACTTATTTTTTAACTTATTTTTTTTACCTATTTACTTATTTATTTACCCAATAACTTATTTTTTTTACTTATTTTTTTACCTATTTACTTATTTATTTACCGATTTACTTATTTACTTATTTATTTACCTATTTATTTATTTTATTGTGTAATACTAAGTTAAATTAAACCATTAAAAATACTTTTTATAACTACCAGAAAAAAGATCATGTTTATTAATTAATTAATTAATTCATTTATTAATGTACTTACTTACTTGTATGTACTTTTACTAATTTGTTTACTTACTTATTTAACGACTTATTTTTTTTACTTATTTAATTATTTTCTTACCAACTTATTTTTTTACCTACTTAATTACTTACTAGCTTACTTATTTGCTTACTTAATTACTTATTTATTTACTTCGTTACTATTAGTTATGTAATTGCTTATTTATCTACTTATTTACTTAGTTATTTATTTGCTTATTAACTTATTTACCTACTTATTTATTTAATTATTTAGCTATTTAGTTATTTTATTCAATAATTTATTTACTTAGTTACTATTAGTTATTTAATTGCTTATTTCTTTTGCTTTTGCTTATTTTGCTTTATCTACTTATTTATTTATTTACTTAGTTATTTAGTTACCTCTTTTATTTACTTATTTGCTTATTTAATTATTTACTTTCTAAGTTACAATTACTTATGAATTGTTTGCGTTTGCATTGGGGTGCATCGAAGAAACTATTGATTATGACACCCCTAGAGGAAACCCACGCCAACACGGGGAGAACATGCAAACTCCACACAGAAACACCAACTGACCCAGCCGGGACTCAAACCAGAGACCTTCTTGCTGACCACAGTGCGACACCACTTAATCACCGTGCCCCCCCCCCCTCAAAATATTATCAATAAATCTATTTTTATATTTTCAAAACGTCGGCAGTAGTTTCTGCTTTCATCATAACTTAATAGTAATAATGTGTAATATTATTAATGATTATTGCCAGATTGTATGTTCTAATAATCTTCCCCTGTGTGTGTGTGTGTGTGTGTGTGTTGTCAGTTTATCATTATAAAATGATAATTGCCATATTATCCATTACAATTAATATCAGACAGGCGTATGAAGAAGAGTTATAAAGTGTGTGTGTGTGTGTGTGTGTGTTAACAGGCGTCTTGTGGGTTTGTGCTCATTAAATGTTTACATTCTGTAATTATACAGATGCAAATGAAGCTTTTAAAGCTCCGGCAGGGGAATCTTATAGTTCAAGATGAGTGAAATTAGTGGTTACCCTGGCAACAGAAAACTGCTTAAGCAGAGAGTGTGTGTGTGTGTGTGTGTGTGTGTGTGTGTGTGTGTGTGTGTGTGTGTGTGTGTGTGTGTGTGTGTGTGTGTGTGTGTGTGTGTGTGTGTGTGTGTGTGTGTGTGTGTGTGTGTGTGTGTGTGTGGTTGTATCTGTATTTGTGTGTACAAAAGTTAAATGTATTTGTGTGTGTATGTGTATATCTGTATATGTGTGTGTGTGTGTGTGTGTGTGTGAGCGCGCATATCTGTAAGTGGATGTGTGTGTGTGGGTGTGCATGCATGTGCATGGACTAAAGTGTGTGTGTGTCTGTGTGTGTTTTTGTTTGTGTGTGTGTGCACAAACATTGTATCAGTGTGTATATGTATGTCTGTGTATTTGTTGTTGAGTTTATTGTAAAGGTGTGTGTGATGTCCTTGCAGAAGTGTGTGTGTGTGTGTGTGTGATCTCTGCTCTCTATTCACTGCTCAGTAAAAATGTGTGTGTTTTTTCTCCTGCAGGACAGTAATGTTGTTCGTGTGTGTGGGTGAGTGTGTGTGTAAGTGTGTGTGTGGGCTCATGCTCAATGTTGAATTAAATCTTTACTCAGTGACAGCAGAGTTCAGTGTCTTTTCAAGGACATGTGCAACACACACACACACACACACACACAGGTTTATATTCAGATGACCAGCACAGCTTCGAGTGCTCCTCCTGCTGCTGTTGCCGTGGAAACAACGCTTGTGTTCCCGCTGAAATCCAGCAGAGGAAGAACACTGAGAAGTGAAAGTCGTGTCGTGAACACTGCACACGCTGCACACTTTACCTAGTGCACTTCAACTAGTACACTCATCCAGACTCTGAGTATGATCTCTCTTAATGTTTTTGAAGCGGTCCTCTTCTGCTCACTGATCTTAAATTATTTTGATCATCATGACTGCAGGCGGTACGGTGGCTCAGTGGTGGTGCACTGTCGCCTCACAGCAAGAAGTTCTCTGGTTTGAGCCCCGGCTGGGTCAGTGTTTCTGTGTGGAGTTTGCATGTTCTCCCTATGTTGGCGTGGGTGTTTCCCAGTACTGGGTTGCAGCTGGAAGGCCACCCGCTGTGTAAAACATATGCTGGAATAGTTGGTGGTTCATTCTGCTGTGGCGACTCCTGATGAATGTGTAAGAGTTTAAGGTGCACAACTAACATACCCTGCGCTGGACTTTAAACCAGGTTTTAGATGATCAATGGCGCTGTCTATTTCAGCTTCTCACAATAGCAGCACTCCAACAATGCGCCCAAACACACCCATGAGTCCATAAAGAGCTGCAAATGGAGGAAGCAGAATAATGATGCTGCACACTGTATGGCTGACGTGTAGAAAACGCTTCCTAGTTTAAGGATTTTTAAGATATTTGAGTAAAAAAGCTTTGTTGGCAGTGCATGCACATTTAGGGCTCTATTTTACTGATCTAGGTTTAAATCTAAAGCTTATAGTGCAAAAGCATTAAGGGCATGTCCAAATCCACCTGCTGTTTTAAGGATGGATAGATCCGCTCTGCACCCGGCGGCGCATGGTCTAACAGGGTTGTGCTTATTCTCTTCATGTGTTATTGATCTGTTTTGAGCAGATTTATATGCCTGTGTGTGTGTGTGTGTGTGTGTGTGTGTGTGTGTGTATATTTGTATGTGTCTATATATGTCACTGTGTATTTGTCTGTGTGTGTCTGTGTATTTGTCAGTGTATGTGTGTATATATCTTGTCTCTGTGTGTGTGTGTGTGTTTCTATATGTATGTGAATCTGTGTGTTTGTGTATATATATCTGTGTTTGTGTGTATATGTTTGTGTGCGTGCAATAATGTGTGTGCATGTTTGTGCATGCATGCATCTGTGTGTGTATGTGTGTTTATATATGTATGCGAGTGTGTGTGTATGTGTGTGTGTGTATGTTTGTGTGCGTGCAATAATGAGTTTGTCCATGTTTGTGCATGCATGTATCTGTGTGTGTGTTTATATATGTATGTGAGTGTGTTTATGTATGTGAGTGTGTGTTTGTGTGTATATGTTTGTGTGCGTGCAATAATGTGTGTGCATGTTTGTGCATGCATGTATCTGTGTGTGTGTTTATATATGTATGCGAGTGTGTTTATATATGTATGTGAGTGTGTGTGTTTGTGTGTATATGTTTGTGTGCGTGCAATAATGTGTGTGCATGCATGCATCTGTGTGTGTATGTGTGTTTATATATGTATGCGAGTGTGTGTGTGTGTGTGTGTATGTTTGTGTGCATGCAATAATGAGTGTGTGCATGTTTGTG